TTTATGGGCTAATTTTCATTTTTGGGTGAACTAACCCTTTAAGTAAGACCTTCTACTCAAATAGGATGCATCTGCAGGTCTGTTTCAATGGATCATAGGTAAATATCTGCTTCATTGAACACAAGTGGGAACTGATTCAGACAGTTTTGCTAATGAAAAAGAACCTGATTCATTCACAAATAGGACATTACCATATTCTTAACGAATGGTGGAAAATAAGAGGAACTAATACATGATAGCTGAAATGCTGTGAGGGAAAATGTATTGATATAGAGGTCTCACCCAGCGGAGGTGATGAAGCGCGGTCTCTGCAGTTCTACGCTCTGCACCAGCAGTCTGGGCTCAAGCGTGCGGATCTCCACATAGCGTGGCAGCACTGCGATGATGTACGGTGGCTGGTGCTCTAATGAAAGACATGTGAAAACAGACTTAGAAATGACTTGAAAAATCAGTAGAAAGGATTTGAAAAAAGGAAAAGGTGTTAAAAAGTGCTGACAGGTCTGTACTCTTTTTGTTAGCATGAATTTTGTGCATGTTGGGTGTTCTTAGTTTGTGGAAATCTGTGGATTTTTCTGCAGGCACAGATTCTGTGTGGGTTGGTCATAAATCAATATTAAAACAGCTCTTGCATTCATTCATTTCCATGAATCAGTTCAGATTCATTTTAATGAATCAATTTGTTTGTATCAAGTTTTCAAAATGTTTTAATAAAAATAGATATAGGTAAATATTGCGGTTTACTACACATAAGTAACTTTATTTCATGGTAACAATGTATGTCATGACATTGTTATTTTTTCAGGAAACAAAGTTGTTATGAGACCAAAATATTAGATACCAGTGAAATTTCACAATTCTCGAAACCAATTCTGATACCAAATATTTTCTTTTCCTTTATTAAAAAAGAAATGACGTTCAATTATTGAATCATTGCTATTATTATTATTAACAACAGGTGAAAGAAATTATATTATGTTAGGTGTGTTTTGCCACCAATTTGTTTTTGTTGTGCTATATATAGTAAGCTTGTGGATACTTGATTGTATGTGACATTGATGAGATTTTTAACTTTTTTTTTGCTCATTATTGCTACATTTTTAACACAAATGTGAATTACAAATTAAAAATAGCCATGTTTATTTTTGAGATGGCAATTGGACACTAGTTTCCTTGATCATCTGACAAGTCGTTCACATTGTTTTATCATTGACTGAACTCGTGAACAAACATGTTCGGTAAGTTGCTAATGAGTACATGAGAATCATGTTTGTTAAGACTGACATCATACATACCCATTGCAACAGGAATGTCCGTCCAGTTAAGGGCACATTTCTGAGTGCAGACGCCTTCTTCGTTTAAAACAACCGTGAGGTCATCCTGACCCACTGCAACCTTCCCATCAGCCAGCGGGGCCACCAATGGTTCCAGCTGTTTCCCTGTGGGAAACAGTTCTTTGACTGTGCCACGTCCATCCATCTGAAGAGAAAAGTCACACGATTAACCCCAAAAAAATACTAATGTGAGTGAATATCCATATTATGATACATTCAGCTGCAGAATTTGAGAGAGAATCTGGTCTCAGCCTCAGATGGCACTCCCACAGTCTGCTCACTGTCCATCTGATATATATTGTAAATAAAACCAGAATTCAGCAAGCTTCAATTTGGTTTTTATCAGTCTAAGAGGAAACAAAATGGTTTGTTTCACTTGCCCTAAAGGGCCACATTTGTGTTGCTGCTGGCTAACTTCTGACAAAACTGCAATGCAAACTACAATATTCATAAGCAGAACTACATTTTTTTGACTTACCCGGATCAGATAGTAGTCTCGTTTGAAACCCACACATATGGAGTTCTCACACCAAGCCATGGACTTGGGAATGTCTGGAGCGGTGACATCCCCCTGCAAAAGTGACCAAACATGATTTAGGCTAATCTTATGGTTTACTACCAATATTTCATTTCTGTGTTTCCAAGCCTCAAGACCTGTAATTCATGGAAATCTCTGTCCTTCCAGTAATACAGCTGAATTTTCCTCTTGACGGCAACACACATGCGCAGTTTGGCCTCGCCAGAGCTGGACTGCTGAAGAGGGAGAGAAAGAAAAAGAAAAATCAGATCTGGGGTTCAGAGCATTAATGGACAATTGAACCCCTCAATTGGGGTTTTTGAACCCCTCAAGTCACACTCAAGGCCCTGATATACTGTACTTCAAAATCAAGGGCAATCAGAGAACGAACTGTTGTGATGTAATTTCAAACAAAATTAGACCAAAACGTGATTCAACAAGTTCATTCCGGCTGGTAAACACCTTCAAACTACCACTGGGGCCCGTTCTTCATACGTGGGTTACTCAGTTAGCTGGATTTTACTGTTGACGATTTGACAAGATCCAGGATTGTTCGGTTCTTCAAAGCTCATCCTGGGGTTGCTGTCATTGCAACAGGTCCGTAAGCTCAAAGCTGCTTGGGAGCAGACTTATTTCATGTAAACAGGAATAGATTGCATCTTTTTAAGCGGAGATGATACTTAAAGTCTGTCCAAGTCACTACTTTTTTTTTTTTGGAATGAACTTTAAGCAACTGTGGCTGTGATTTTTGGTTGATATATGAAGTTCTCTTCACATTCACACAGGTGTCTTAGCAGAGCAACTTCAGGCATCAACATGTTCCATTAACATTTCACAAACACAACTTTTTGGGCCGCTGCATGCAAATAAACAGGCCAGAGTGATTCTTTAACCTACCTGCAGGTCACAGGCAAACAGTGTGGCCCCTCTGGCTTTGGACACCACAGTTATCTGCTGGAACGTGAGCAGGTCGTGAACGTGGATGTTATTTTCTGAAACAAAAGAGGGCAATGATACTGCTGACACCAAAACTACAGAGTTCCTTAAGATACTTTACACTACACCACATCAATTTGATCGATGATATAAGTTCCTCAAATGCAAGCCACAAAGAAAGCATATATGACAACACATCATATGACAATGACTATGTTTAGGCAGTATTGCTATTAACCTTATGTAAACCCAATACTCTGATCAAACTGATGCGATTGAGCTCAAAAATACAGTATGTGGCATATGGCGATGTCAGTTACAATAAACAGGCATGTGCACATGTAAATGTAGTCATTGACTAAACAAATCTGGAAAAAATACTTACCCAACAGACTAACCAAAATCTTGTACTGTGACACCACAAAAAGCTGAGAGAGGAAACAGAAAAACAAATGTTAGAAGCAGCAAACAATAGTCTTTCCTTTAGAGACTTTCACCACTGTCATTATTATCCCACCCTCATGATGTACGCTATGTACAAAAAGGACATTTTTGAAGAACCTTCATGCAGTTTGCCCATAAAATCAGTTTAATGTGACCATAGATGTCAAATTCCAAAAAGGACCCAAGAACACCATAAACATAGTCAATGAGACTTGTGGGTTATATTTATAAGTCATACAGTAGCTTTGTGTGAGAAACAGGCCTAAAGTGAAGTATTATTCATGGATGTCACAGTGGAACAACATAATGGTGTGTAAATAATAACAAAATTTGGGTCGACTAATATCCATCTGTGCATACCTGCTGGATCTTCTTTGAGAAGTTCTTATTGGATTTCTCTAAAGTAACTTCAAACCTGTTTGTACCTGTGTTTAAAAAAAAAGAAGATTATCACTTAAACTTGAATAATCACTTCAACAAATGATTAATGCTAAATATAAGCGCAGATGCAACAAAAACTATGCACCTGCATCTTTCTTGATCCTGTACAGAAGGAGATGGCCTGGTTTGGTCCCCACAAGGAGCCAATCATCTACAAACACAGTACGATTATCGGCAAAGTTTTACAAATAAGTTCATGGAACTCGTTTTGCAGTATAATTCAGAATTAAGAAGGCCAGTTTTACAGGTCCAAACATTCTCAAGTTGCTTGACCATTTTTTATCTATTAATTTATTTATTGATTACCTCAGTGTATTGGTAATGCAAAATGTTTTTTTTATTATTATTATTTTGTCTAATTGTATTTATTTATTTAGATTTTATTTTATTATTTTATTTTGTGTGGGTGTATGTTATGGCCCACAACAAACTTTGGTTGGACGTTTACGGAAACCTTAATATCTCAGCTAAGTATGGTCCAAGCTCTTTGGGACAGAAACTGATCTCTAGAGCACATTTCAGGGTACACGTACATGAACATAAGGAAATATTTTGCATATTCAAATGTCATGATCAAGATTGCGCAAAGTTTCACTTTTACTTTACCGGACCACTTGAGATGGATTGACCTAAGAGACCTTAAGATACTCCTTGTGTGATCTAGTAGAAGACATTGATTAACATGGCTCTAATAATCACACACCCTCAATATGTAGATGTACAAGCCAACCTCATAACCTGTACTTTACTGAACTTTCAGTTCCCTGCTGGAATCTAGTCTAAACACCTACAATCATACTACACTTTCAACACCTTGAGAGCTGCTTAACTAATCAAACATCTGTTGTTCAGTCAGATAGTGGAATAGTTGTGCTTTCTCTGGCCATGACTCAAAACCTGCTGATCTGTCAAACTAGACATTGGTTTTGCATGTTTCTGAGTCAGCTGACCAGCTTCTTTTTTGCCAGGCAGCTCATCAGCTCGTGAAACAAAACCAGAGAAAGGACATTTGATCAAGAAGTATTCAACAAACTCGATCCATATTGACCAATGAAATCTGTCTAGGTAGAAATACTAGACGCTCATACCATGTATGCGGCTAAAGAAATGTTGTTGACACAGTCAGTTTGCAACGCACAAGGTTTTGAGACGCAGTCATTATCAACAACAGCGATACTCCATACGAGTGTTAAAGGTGTCTAAATGAAGGGAGCTGAAGGGAAGCAGAACTCACCCCAGGCCGCCAGACAGTCAATCTGGAGGGGTAATTTCTCCAGGATAGGAACTGGTTCGTATGCGTCATGCATACTGGAGCTCTTATGGTCGACCAAACACACGTAGATAAATCACCCAAAATGATAAGACAGAAAATAAAACACCCTGACCACTGTATAATCTGCTGGCAGTTGACAGAACAATAGTTAACAAACAGAAAATAAGAAATTAACTGCTACACAACAGTTATATAGATGGTTGACGTCTCTGTTAACCAGCTTGACTCTTGTCAAATGTCCCAGAATTGTCCCACTCCATCCTTCTTGAGTCCCGTGTCCAAAAAGAAGTAAGGAAACACTGAAACGCTTGTGTTCTGTTGTGTTGTTAATGTGTCATGAGCAGTTGGCTAGTATGTAGCTTTCATATTTCGCCCTTAAATCTCGCCAAACACCGATCCGCGATGCTCAGGTTCCGGATGTATTTCATCCCATTGTCCTGCGCGATGCTGTGGTTTATTTCGGGCTTTACTGTCCGTTAATGTGAACTGATATCTGCCTGGATTCCGCGTTTGACAGTGAGCTGTATGTGCTGCGGGAACTTCCTGGAGCCGTGACGAGCACGTGACCGCGAGAGCTCAGGAGAGTTCCATTAAAGGGGTCATATGATGCGATTTCAATTTTTCCTTTCTCTTTGGAGTGTTACAAGCTCTTGGTGTATAAAGAAGATCTGTAAAGTTGCAAAGACTAAAGTCTCAAACCCAAAGAGATATTCTTTATAAAAGTTAAGAGTCAGCCACGCCTACCTAAAACAGCTCATTCAAACACGCCCCCACATGTCTACGTCACGATGTGGGAAGATTTGCATAACGCCGCCCAAATGTTCACGCAAAGAAAGAAGGCGTAACTTTTATTCTCGCTGTAGTATTGTTGCCGCCGCCACCATGTCGTGAAGAGCTGTGTGTTTCATTGTGAAAGCGAAACTAATAATGTTCTTTTTAGCAGCATCATATGACCCCTTTAAAAACAACACAAGTGAAGGCGCCTGCACTCTGCTTCCACAGATGATTGACATTCCACGCATAAATCCTGCGCACAAACATATAAAAGGCACTTTAAAATGCTCTGAAAGGAAGTGTCATGTAAAGATCTTAGGTATTAATATATTTATTTAATTTAAAAGATTTCTTAAAAGTATTATTTTAATAGGATCACAGTTTTCTCAGTTTCCCACAGAGATCCAGTGTGTTTGGGACCCACTGGTGTAAAGTGCTTGAGTGAATGTACTTAAGCATCTTTTTGGCTGCTTTGTAGTTTTATTGAGAATCAAAGATATTCGCAACTTTTACTTTCTACTTGACTACATTTTTGAACAAGAATGTACTCTTTACTCCAATACATTTGTAATGAGTAACATTTTGCACGGCACCTAACAGCTACAAGAGTGATATTGCCATCTACAGGGCACTGAAGGTACTATATCTTGTGGGTTTTGCCCTTAAAGGCACAACATGTAAGATTTTTTTATTAAAATATCCAAAAATCACTAGATGCGGTCGACTGTGGCATAATAAAAGCTCCGCTACTAGTAAAGGCTAGTAAAAAAAACGTAATTTTACAAATTTTTTTTGAAGATATAAAGGAGATATTAGGATATGAACTCAGAATTTCTTGCAATTCTGACATTTTTCTCAGAATTCTGTTTACATCTCTAAATTCAGTTTTTTTTTTCTTCCCTGGCTTGGAATAAGAAAGAAAATAGGTAACTGCAACTTTTTATCTTATAATTCTGACTTTTGCAGAGTTATATCTCTCAATGTGAACTTTTATTCTCATCAGAAAGAAATTGAGTTTATATCTCACAAATCTGTGTTTATAAACACAATTGCAAGGAAAAAAAGTGAATTAAAAGACAAAAAGTCACAATTACGTTTAATATTTGAACAAGCTTCCATAAACTTTGTCTTGACGTTCCTTTAGTTATTATTAAAAAGGACAGAAGATGTGGTTTTTGTGTATATTATTTTGTGATACTGTCATTCAAACGGATAGTTAGACTCAGCTAATTCGTCTGCTGCTTGAAATCTGAATTATGAGATTCCATGAGAACAAATCCTATGTTTGTTCAGAACTCGTGTCTTGTCACAGCAGTTCCTGGACTGCATGTGGGTGGAGTAACAGGCCTGGAGGTTCTCTGATATGAGGAGCAGTTTGCTCAGCTGTCACTTCTGAGAGCCTCATGTCACTCTCACACCCTAATGGCTACAACTGAGTAAGCGAAGAGGTTAAATATAGCTCAGCAGCAGTGGAGCTGCACACAATCACTGATAGAGCAAGCATGTGCAGCGCTGCACCTCTTGTCCCTGGAATAGAATACAAACTTCACTGTCCCTGGTTGTGACTCATTGATCTTACAGCCAGCCTAACGACTCACATTCAGTCATACTTTCTTTCACTTGTTGACTCTCGGTTTGAAGCACCTGCTTCTCAGTATAGATCTTACAAAGGAAACATCTTTGGGTAATGGGTACCACTATTAGAAGAATGGTTCTGGAGTCTGGAGCATACAGGAGTACACTAGCTTGAGGTTTAGGGACCACTGTGGGTAAGTCTTTCATTCATGTTTCATTCAGAGAGAAGTGTGTTCTTGTTCTACGGGACTGCACTCATTGTTGTCACCACTTTATTAATAATTTACTAAAGATTGCCACATGAGTGGCATATATAATATATTACACAGCCTGTACTTTCTCCTAGACTTTCACACACACATTTCAAGCAATTGCAATACTTATATATACATGTTTGTCTTAAATTTAGAGAGTAGTAAATTGCAAAGTAAAGCTATATACTGTATCATGTGACTGCGTACCATTCACTTTACAGAAGTAGTGCATTTCCAGTTGAAATAGTTCCGGCATAAATTAATTTGGAGTGTAGTAAATCACAGCATAAAAGTTATATATGTCATGTGATTTCATAGCATTAACTTGCTATGAAGTGCATTTCCAGTGGAAATAGTTTAGGCATAAATGAACATCTGAACACCACAGTGTACATTTGGAAAGTACACTATTCAAAAATTTCTAACAATTAAGATTTGTTTGTTTTTTGAAAGAAGTCTCTCATGGTCACCAAAGCTGCATTTATTTGATCAAAATACAGTAAAACAGTATTATAAAGTATTATTTTAAATTAAAAGAAGGGTTTTCTATTGGAATACATTTTAGAATGTAATTTATTGCTGTGATGCAAAGCTGAATTTTCAACATCAATACTCCAGTCTTCAGTGTCACGTTCCTTCAGAAATCATTCTAATATGCTGATTTGTTGCTCAGTTATTATTAATTATTGTTGGTGCTTAACTATTAATTGTGTTTTTTATTATCAACGTAGGAAACATTGCTGCTTAATATTTTTGTGGAAACTGTGAAACCTTTATTTCAGGATTCTTTGAGTAGAAAGTTCAAAAGATCAGCATCTATTTGAAAAAAGATATGATTATTATAATTATTATTCTTTTTCACATTATAAATGTATTTACTATCATTTTTGAACAATTTAATGCATCCTTGCTGAATAAAACTATTAATTTCTTTTTTTTTTCATTCTTTCTTTCTTACTCCAAACTTTTGAATGGGTCATGTGTCACAGTTTTTTTCCCCCAATAATTTATTCCTGTAAAAATAGGTGCACTCTAAAAAATGCTGGGTTAAATACAAACCAGTGCTGGGTAAAATAGGGACAAACCCAGCAATTGGGCTGTTTTGACCCAGTGGTTGGGTTTAACCCAGCATTTTTTAGAGTGTGTGATTGGAAAATAAAGGAACTTTTAGCCTTGATGTTAGAAAAGAATTTTGTGGGAAAAAAAGGTTTATTGTGAGATTTTGGTAGTGTCTGGGTTGCTGAGATTTTCTCACGTTTGTCTCTGGATATGTTTATAGATGGCTGCATGACCCATTGACTCAGTATGTATACTGTATTTGATCACCGCCTCATCCAGGTGTCTATTAATACTACAGCTTGAACATGAACTTCAATATCCACCCCCTTGGAATGGCTTTTTACAGAGTGATCCAATGATGTCACGTAACCAGAGAAGCCTTGGTTTTGGTTTACTGATGATATACTTCTATGCTGCTTCTTCAGGAGTTCAAGCAAGTTGAGTTACAGTGGAACGTAACCTGTTAGAAAGGTATTCATGGGTATCAGTTACATGTGTGGCTGTGGCACGTCATTAGCTGATATTCCTGAGACTTACATTTTTTATTTATGTTTTTAATAATCTTCTAGATCACATACCTTACATTTTTGAGGGGTGTAGGTCATGGCACACTGAGTACTGGAGTTACTGGTTTATACACTTCTGCTCAAAAGTTTGGAATGTTTAAGATTTTTAAATATAATTCAGACATTTTTTCTCGCAATTCTGAGTTTTTCTTTTCTTAGAATTGGAAGAACAAGGGAAATTGTTTAACTGTTTTTCTGTTGTAATATATTTTAAAATGTAATTTATTTCTGTGATGCGCAGCTGAATTTTCAGCATCATTACGCCAGTCTTCAGTGTCATATGATCCTTCAGAAATCATTCTAATATGCTGCTCAAGAAACATTTCTGATTATTAGCAATGTTGAAAACATTCCATAATTGTATTTATTTATTTATTGCTACTTAATATTTTTATTGAAACAAAAGCATTCAAAACTTTGGAGTAATTAAGATTAAAAAAAGAAATGAATACTTTTATTTGGCAAGAATGCATGAAATTACATTTAAAGTGACAGTAAAGACATTTATAATTCAATAAATGCTGTTCTTCTGAACTTTCTACTCATCAAAGAATCCTGAAAAAAAAAGTATGATGGTTTTCAACATTTATAATAATAGAACAGATCTTTCAAGTTGTAGTGATATGCACATGTATAAAATGCAGCCTTGGTGAGCATTAGAAACTTCTTTTAAAAACATTAAAAAACGTATTATTATTTACAAATTTTGACCAGTAATATTATTTTTTTTCTTTAGTTACAATTAATAATATTATCAGGGAAAATCACACACACACACACACACACACACACAAAAACCCTATTTTAAATTTAAATGTATGCATTTAGCAAATGCTTTTATAATTTTTTATTTTTTTTTGGATAAGATCAGTTCAGCTGCATTTCGTCCCCAAAACTGCTGTGCACTTTTAAAAACTTTGCCTGTTGTCCCATACATACTACAAGCTGAAATCCAATAAGACAACTGCTCCAACTGAACATAAGTTATGGATGGCTGATATAAATAGAAGCTGATGACTGTATACAGTAAGATGAACTGGGAAATATTTATTTATACAGTAATATAAACTGATTTGCAGATTATAAAATTATATAGAAGAAAATAATAAAAGATAGATTGATAGATTGAGTGTTTAGTAATGTTTGTCTCTGTTTTACTGCTATCAGAGTGAAAGGTAACTACCATTACAGCTGATAGACTTTGACCTTCTTCCCTCCTCTCTGAACAAGTGTCCATCAACCAGGTCATGTGTATTGTGCTACCTGCAGAGTTCTGACTGCAGTCTCCATCAAAAGTTGCACATTTTTTTCTTTTTCTATTCTAGAT